CATTGACCAACTTACCTTAATTGAATCCAAGTTCTTATCGCTAGCCAAAGTTTCTAAACAATATCTTATCATGCCAGCCAGTGCAAACTTTGCTCCACTATCGCTGGCTTTTTGGTAAACACAGTCAGCTGGCCTAATATCAATTAATTAAAAGCGAAAGTGCTTGACAACGACAGCAATAAGCTGGTTAGTTTTTATTTAATAAACAGGTCTACAAGTCTATGAACTTATTTCTTACTTTAACTTCAGGGGTAACAAATAGAGTTGGAATATAGAAGTCCTATTTTTAACTAAGCTTTGCCAGCCTGACTTCAATTAATTAAGAGCGAAAGTGCTTGACAGTTGGCCAAAAGAAATGCATACTTCGGTCGTCGGGCATTAAATATTGAAGGGCCAGAAGTCTCTCAAACATTTATGGGAATTTCTTATTTTTGCGGCCCTCGGGCTGAGCCTAGCTCATTTGAAATGCAACCAAAAATTGACGCAACCCAGCCGCATTAAGTAATGGGTGGCACTCGGTGCCCAGAGGAAGTCACGCAGCCACAGCAGCAGAATATACATTTAATCAAGTGGCCTAAGACTCTCTCGGCCTCCCTTTTTCCCTTACGGCTTTTCCCTTCAGCTTTTCCCGGTCACGTCAAATGGGGATTTTTATTTTATGAAGCACCAGAGCAGGCCAGATCATCTTGTGTGACATTGGGGGAGGGGTGGGGGTGGTCGTTAAAGCGGGCTGAGCGCCTTTTAATCGCCAGTGTGTTAACGTGCAACGTTGCGTATGCGCAATTTTCTGTCATTTTTATTACTGATGAACATCGCAAAATTACAGCAACACTCTGCCACCTACACGTATTCAATGTCAATCATCATTTGCAGCAATTTATTATTATAATAATAAATGTTTTCGGCTCTTCCCTTGGGTAAGAACCACAACCCTCATCCCCCATCCCCCAATCTACATTCGCCTTCTTTTCTTGTCGACGAAAATTGTGTGTTTTCTCTCAAGTAGTTAACATGGAAAACGTTGAACAAATCGCATTAATTGCTGTTGTTGCAGTGGGTGGAGGAGGGGAGGGGGGGAGGAAGGAGGCGGGCTTAATGCGGGACAACTTTTGTCGGAGCCCGCATGAGCATGTGTGCGAAAGTGTGCTTTTTAAGTACCGCTATGACAGGCAGTAAAAACAACTTAACTTGGCTTGCCAAGCCAAGCCAAAGCAAACCGAAAACCAAAAACCCAAGGCATTGTTGAGCTGTTAATGAAAAGTCAACTTGATTTCATGCCAGACCAGCCAGCCGTCCAAAAGCCTGCTCCTTTGCTCCTTTGGTCCTTCGTTCGTGCCTCAGCCTGTGTCGCATGCAAAGCCAATGTGCAACAAGATGGCAAGAAAAGCATGGTGCCCCTGAGCCTCAGAAGCCGAGCAACTGAAAAAACTTTCACTTTATCATTAAGCCTGACGGGTGAACTTTTTTGAGTGGCTGCTACGTCGTGTGTGGCCAGTTTCCCAGGCTCTCGAGCAGGACTCCCTATGTATTGAAACATAAATAGAATTATAAATACTCTACAGGCATGTGTGTGTGTGTGAAAAATCAGTTAAAGTTATTGCATGTCGTCGCAGCTCGACATAGACAAATGTTGCTCTTGTCACAAGTGGAGGAGGCAGGAGCAACAACAGCAGCAACACCAGCAACACAGCAGCAACTCCTGGGCCCACCCACATCAACTGGCTGTCTTCATGTGCCTGTTGCCAACTTGACGAAAATTGAATTTCGAAACATGCTGGCTAAAAGAAAATGTACAAAAAAGAACCACCGAAGGACCCAAAAAAAAAATGAGGAACAAAAATGAAACAAAACAAAATAAAACTCGCTGGCAAATAGAGAAACATTTCAGCGGCAAAAACGGCAACAACAACCATGAAAATGACAGCGTAAAGCCGGCAAATGCAACAACAGTGAGCGGGGAAAAACAAATGCCAAGAAAATGGCGGCTGTTAAAATGCGAAAAACGCGTTGAAAACTGTTTGAACAACAAGGAGCTGCAAAGGAATCGAGCGAACGCACAGCAGCAACATGAGGACACCAGCAACATCAGGACGACAACAGCAACATCAGGACAACAACAGCAACAGCAACTGTATTTAGTGCCGCCATCATCACTATACGTGTGTGTGTGTGCGAGTGTGTGTGTAAGTTGCGCTAAGTGCCTTTGCTCTTCGTCCTTCGACTTCCACCCCCCTTCCCCCTATTACTTATTCCCCCTCCCCTCACCCCCTTTATTGTCCTTGTTTGCCTGTTATGTTTTTTAGCTTTACGTAAATTGCGTAAATTGTGTGCATTTTATTACGCTACACTTCATGCTGTCACGCCCCCATTTTCCTCCACCGCCCATCTCCATACATCACCTCTTTCCCTCGTTTTTTTTTGTATTTTGGCAAACATTTTGGCAACTTTTTTTTTGCTTGCTGTGCTGTCAGCACGAAGAAAATGTCTTCGTCAGTTTTATTAGGTGAGAACTGTGCGTTACGCGAAACTTGTTTCATGTGTGAGTTGAAAAATGGTGTGGAGTGTGGATGTGAGGCCAGAGTTTATGTATCATGTTCCGGAATTTTGATTGCCTCGAAATCAAACCCCCATCCTCATTCGACCCATTTCAAATGAAATGAATGTAAATGTTTGGTCCGTCTATCAGTCTTGGCTAACAACCCATTCAGCCCTTCCCTGTCACTCACTCTTACCTTTAATAACACATTTTTTGGGCTAATTGATACGCCTGACGGCATCGCGTGACCAAAACTGAACGCTAAACGACAAAGATAAACACAAGAAGAAATAAAAGCGACAGAAAAAGAAAACAGCCGGCACGAAAACGAAACCCAAAATCAAATCGCAGGGCGCCAACAGAAACTTCCACGCGACGGCGTTCAAGTTCATTGCCATTTAGGCCAAAATTGGCGCACGCGGAACTTGTCTTTAGTCCCCCAAAAAAAGCACGAAGGAAGCCAAAATACAGAAATACAAAAGTACGAACACAAAAATACGAGCAACAGAAAACGAAAACCAAAACAATTCGAATACAAAGTGAAAAGAAAATACACACACGGCTATTTTTGGGAACGCACGTAGCAATTGGCAGCCGTAGAAATTGTTGCTGAAAATTGAGGCATTAAACTGCACTCGATCGATGGACGGATTGTGCACACGGATCGTGAGGAGCCGTTTCCTCTGCCCCCGAATTTCCCCCTCCACCCCGTCACTTGATAAATGCCAAAGGCATTTAACGCATTTTGTTGCAATTAATTTTCGCCACTTTGTGGTAGAAAATTTTTGGTTGTTTGCCAACCGCGAACATTTGATCGCCGTCGGAAAATCGAAATCTTTCAAAAATCACAAAAATCTTACATTCCATTATCAAGTGGTTACACACATTATTCCGGCCGACAGCATGGCGACTCATTGCGCTCGTAAAACAAGGAAAATGCACTCAAAATACAGTTGAAATTGCATTTAACACATTTTCCCGGACCCATTTGCCGCCTGGCTGGCGGGTGTGAGGGATGTTACTTTTGATTTATTTGCATGACAAACGGGTTAATTACAGCATGTTGCGGCAGCAACACCAACTGCACGGCAGCAACTCAAACAGCAGGCTAACAAAAACAGGATTTTTTGTTCATTTCATAGGCACAATTGTTGCATGCCACCCGATGATGCAACAACGCGGGGCTGGAATATTGTGGGCGTTTGGCAATGGCGCCACTGCTCCCTCCGAAACATATATTTATGTGAAAATGTTTCGGCAATTGACAAGCTTGTCCCTCGGATCGGAAACGAAGTTTTGGAGCCCCAAAACCCACTTGGCACCAGGAGGTGCAACGTCATTTATTACACACATAACACACACACAACACATCCAGAGTTTCTTTGTTATTTGATTGAGCTTGAGGCTGGCATTGAGTGTCCATAATGGAAATTTTATTTATTAAATGCGAGTCTCTGTCCAGCGCCTGTGCCGTTGTGTAATTTATCACAGCCTGGCCAGCCAGAAAGGAATTTTCTGCGGGATTTAATGCCATGACAATGGGTGAGAAGCGGTGAAAAAAGCCGTGACTGAGGGGGGAGGGGGGGAATGGGGGTTTTGTGTGGAGTGTGGCAATGCATAACGCATTAACAAACGGCTTTCAGCTGCATATTGGCTTTTGTGATTAACGCTCACACATGCAGAGCGGCGAGCGCATAAAAACACTGATACCCTTGTTGCTGAAACGAGCTATCGATGGCTGGGACTTAACCCATGTCTAACTGAGATTAAATTAAATGGGTAAAATAATAAAATGTACTTTTAAGGACCAAAGTTTTAAAGAAAATAATTTAATATAATAACTATTTTATTCCTATGAAAGAAAAGCTTATAAGTATGTCTGCTCAGGCGACATGTTAAACTTTATAAAGCAGAATTTAAAGTCATTTTATATTTAATATTTATCCTGCAAAACTTTCAGAGTGTCTAATCCATTAAGATTCCAACCCAGGCGCCATGGTCAATTATTTTTTCATTAACAATATCACATCTCAATGGGTTAACTGTGAGCCCTTTTTTCAATATTATAACGACTGTTAAATGCCACAAATTGTTTAATGCGTCGGGTTGCTCTGCTCACTCTACCCACTCTACTCACTCCTTTACTTCCCATTCCAAACTCACTATGGCTCTCCAGCGTGCAACCACCGAGCGATTTATGCAAATGCAACCAATGCACTTAGCGCCGTTAAATAAACAAAAGCATTATCAGCACCAGCTTCAGCAGCAGGCAGACACAGAATGCAAAATGCAGAAATGCAAGACAATGCATTAAATTCCCTTTGCTATGCGCTATGTGCTGATGTGCGGGGAGAAGCCGCAGCACAGCAGCAACATCAGCAGCAGCAGCAACTGCAACAGCAACATCAGCAGCAGCAGCAGCAGCAACTGCAGCAGCAGCAGCAACATCAGCAGCAGCAACACACATCAAAAATTCACTATGGAACTTATCTAAATGCACTAAATTACACATTAAGCGAGTATCTTAAATCAAGACCTGCACACACAGTCGCAATCTAAGCGCATAAACAACAAGAACAAGCCCCGCAAAATGCAAATTTGCAGTGATGAGGTGAGGGGGTTGGGGGGTTGAGCAAATTGAGTTGGCATGGTCAGGGACTAGAGATTGCGGACTCATAGACTCATAGACTCACTTGCCCTAGCTGCTTAATTTGCGTGCGAGCTTATATTTTTTTCTCCCACTGTTGCCTTGCCTTCCGTGCCCTCCATCGATTATGTAAATGCGAAAATTTCCATTAAATGCATTGAATTCCATTACGAACGCATCATCATCATCTTCATAGTCGCAGTAGTAGTGAATGAGGGAACGTTGTAAACCAGAAACCCAGACAGACAGACAGATTCAGAGGCAGTGGCGGAGATCTCAGCTCTGGGCGCCCATTGTCTTGCGGTATTGCGAATTTATGGCTCAACAACTGCGAGTCCGGCACAATGAAGTCATTTGCTGTGGAATGTTCGGCGGTCGTCGAGGCAAGTGAAAATGCCTGGCCCGAATATCGTAAATCGTTTACTGGTCTGTTGTCTGTTGTCTTTTTTTTCCCTCGTAGGTATTTTCATTAGCCAAACACAAATTGAGGCAACACGACACGACACACAAAACCGAAAGAAAAACACTTAACATCAACACGAAAAAGACTAAGCAAGCAGCAAGGCTAAAAAATCAGGGGGAGGGGGTCGAGGCAAGTCGGGCTTAACATGGCTCAGATCAGCTCAGGTTGGCTCAAGCGGACTGAGCGAGAAAAACCAACAGAAACTACTGTTTAAACATCTCTGCAAGCCGCGCTTGCACATGGATTTTTACCTGGTTCACCCTTTTCCAATGTTGGCCAATGACCAAACAGAAGCTTACGGGTATTTATTCCACCTGGCGGTGGGTTATAATTTGCGTACTTCATTTTGGGGCCATAATTTCGACTGTTTCGTCTGTTGGGAGGATGTGTGAAAGTGTCTGTCGGCCTGCGGCATTTGAAACTCCGACTGCAGCAAATGTGCAGCCAAATGGATCTTTTGTTTGCCGGCTTTCACCACAAACGCCGCTTCACTTTTGTATTTGGCTACGCATTTCACACTTTGAGTGCGGAAAATCTCTCTCTCTCTCTCTCACCGACTAACAACTCAAAACTGGCAACTGTAAGCGAAACGGAAATCATTGGAAAAGCTGGAAAATGCAGGGGGAAAACAGAGACTGTGTTGGCGAATTCGAGAGGCCCAGCAAGACCTTGGTGCTGTTAATCTTCACCTTGGCGGTTATCATGAAGTTGGGCATCATTTTGGTGGAGATTATGGTGTGAGGGAATTACCTGCAATGAGACAAGAGAGAAAAGGTCGTAATTAGTTGCTGTTCTTGGGCATTTTCCTTTTATGTAAAGATAAGTGTAAACAAAGAACTGAGAAAATGCGATTGATTGGGATCAAATGGTGGAGTGACTGCAGTTTTAGTTTGATCTTTCCCTTCACAGGAGTCGCATTTCATCGAGGGTGAGTTGTCTTTCTGTTTCGCTTTGTCGCTTCTTCGGTCGTTCTTTTTGGGTATTCGATTACAAAAAGGTTTTCGTTATTAGCCTTTGTCCTCATCAGCATTTGACTTTTCCCATTTCCCGCGCAAACAAAAAGGAGGGAAAGCGGCAAAAAACCGCAAGGGTAAAAACATAATTTCATTTGGCCTGCTGTGCAGAACAGTGAAAATAATTTGACAACTTACTTAAAAATGTGTCACATGAAGAAGGTCAAAACTTGGTTAGGCAGCCGTAAAAAAGGGTTGCCACACACAAACGAGCCTCAAGTAGAGTCGACGCTTGTCGGAAAAATCAAAATGAAAATCCGAAAGGGGGGCGGCGCAACTTTTATTAAAAGCTGTCAGCTCGACAAAACCCCAACATATTGCCCCAACTCGGGTCTCACATTTTCCCCCCGCCAAACAAAGTTAAAACGTCATCGTGGCTTCATTACGGATTCCTCAAATGTTTCTCACCTTTTGGCCGAAAAGCCAGCCGAAAAAGTTTGTTGCCTCCATGTCCTTTGATCAACTTGCAGGACATTTCCACCTGTCTGTCTGGCCAACAGCCGCAGCAGCTGCTCTTTGATGTCAGCCAGCGAAAAAGGACGAAACGGAAAGTGGGTGCCAAGGATAAGCCACGAAAGAGCGCATCAGGCATGCATAAAGCGAAGGCCCAAATTAACTCAATTGACAAGAAAGGGTTTGGCTAACTCGCTTACGGCCAAGAAAGTGGAGGGAAAAATCGTGCTCTCCTCGGGATATGGATATTGCCACATACAATCCCTAATTAGAATCGATTTGGCTCGGGGGATACCCTTTTTCTCTTTCCCCGTTGACCTATCAAAAAACAATTAACAATTTGAGGCACTCAATAAAATATTTAAATGCTAAAGTAAAGGGAACCCTTTTTTTTTGTCCTCGTGAAGTGGAAAGGAACCCAAAGCGAAGGCAAACAATGATAAATTACAAATGAAATTGTAAAAAGGCGCAACAGCCAAAATAAAAAAGGAAATGAGAAATGAGAACTGGGAACTGGGAGACAAAGAAAGCGAGGATAACAGAAAGTGGTAGATGAAGAACACGGCGAGCAATTAACGCGGACAGAAAGGGCCACGCCCCCTCCATTTGGGGGCGCATTCCATTTGGCCATGTCGACTCCAATGATTACTTTCGCCTTTGATTAATTTGAGCTCATCGATATTCCCGATGTGCAACCCTTTTTCGGTCATTGCCCGTCGGCCTAATTGCTTGCCTAATTTAATTGCCGCGAGTGTAATTTGTGCTGGCCAACTGACAACTGTGACAATCGGACGACAGGCCATGAAAGTCGAAGCCCGGACTTTTGGCCTTTGGTCCTATACTTTTTCCACTCGCCGGGCTGCAGCTCTCTAATCAGTGCATTTGATTAATGGAAACTTAGCTCCACTCCACTTGGTTTTACCTTTTTTTTCTGGGGGGACAGGACTCGGGTGGAGGTGTGTCCAAACACCTTCGAGCAAACCACAAAGTCATTTCCGCACTTTTCGGCCAGCATCATTAATTACAAAAACCAATAAAAGTGTTGGCCGAGCATTTGGGCCAAAATAAGTTGTCATCATTAGTAACAGTTACAAGTTGGCCAAACGAATGCTAAGAATATAAAAAAGGACAGGGAAAATGCTATACCTAAAAGAATTCGACCAAGAAATACTCTTCAAAAGAAAAAACATTTATAAATAAATACAAATTTGATACCCATTTGATACCAATGCTGTTTTAAATCCCAAGATTATTTCTTACGAAACCAAAATAAGAAATCAAAGTCAGTTCACGAACATGATTTATAAATGCCTATACAAACATCTCCCTATTTTTTAGTTAAAACAGGCATTTAATTTACTGTTTATTCTATGCCCAAACCCAATGCAACCTTTTTTTCCATTTAAAGCAAATACCCAAGGATAACCCAGATGAATAACAGGAAACTGACAAAGACAAGGAGCCTTGGCAACAACATTTTCCCGGTTACTTGCAAACAAATTGCCAACAATTGATGAATGTCTGGTAATGAGACGCGCTTCTCAACATGGCCAAATAAAATGCGGAGAAAATAACTTAAGCTAAACGCAACTAAAAGTCTGTCAAAAGCGGGGAGTTGAGGAGGGGAGTGAAAGGGGGAATACTATAGAAGATCTAGGCGCCAGTTGGAGGAAAATGGCCTTTTGTATTGGGCCTATAAATAAATAGGCTTTTCAATACACACACACACACTCGCACACACTCGGTACACTGAAGCCATTCGGAAAGCAATCTGTGTAAAAGTAACGTAGTCATTAATCATTATCATATAAACATCAATTGGTGTTTAGAGTGTTCGATGGTCGGGGGTGAAAGGAGAATGCTGGGGGTTTTTTTTCGGGGGCTGCATGTCTTGCCCAATGTTATTGATTGGCCATTCAGTTGGTATCGAAGTCGTTGGCCGTCTCAAGGAGTGCAGACAGCCGATTCAGCCAAGACGAGAACGTAAGAAATCGGAAAAGAAATCGAAATGAAATTTACCGTAAATAAAAACATACCAAAATGGAGGGAGTTCGATGTAAGTAGAATGAAAAATTTAATTTATAACAGTATATATATATTGGCCGTTTCTTCCGCAGCAACTTCCACTTCCCTCAATTGGCCCCAAAAAAAAAAAAAAAAAAAAGAAAAATGTTTTGGGCAGCAGGGAAGCTGCTTCAAAGGTTTCCTGTTTGGTCCGATTCAATGCATTAAGGCGAAATCATCTTAGCTGAAATCAAATAAAAGCGACAGACACACACAGCAAGAAAAAAAGTGAGGGGAAGAGGGGAGAGGGGGGACAAACTATGCTGGCCAAGATATAAATCAACAGAAATAAGACAAATTTTCGGAAGCAAGTTGCCGAGTCTCTTCAGCTGGCACCTAATCAAAGGAACCGACAGAGAGACACAGAATTACATGTAATCAATTTGTCATAATAACCATCAGGGCTTATATGTGTGTGTTGGGCTGTGTCTTCTGTCGAGTCATTTAGCGACAGTTAACCTTGAACCTTTTGAAACGAAAACGAAACCCCTCAAATGAGGCGCAAATCTTCAAGACTCCTCCTTCGAGATTGCCACACATTTATCATCCCACATATGTACTCATTAATATTTCATGTTTATTTCAAGTTTATGCTTTTTCATATTCAGAGCTCGATAGGGACAGTCGAGAAAGCAACTTATCTGGGCTTGAAAAATTCCCATTTATGGTTTCATATCGTTCGAAACATGTATACAAATATAAAAAGTCAGGCATGTATAAGTATTTTGTAGCCTCTTTTTTATCAGCTAGCAGGGCAACAACAAAATTCCTTTCGCCTGCAGAGCCATCAATCATTATCATTGGAGGCCCATACAACAGCCTCCTCGACTTCCGAGTTCCATCCTGTTTGGGCCTCTATCTTGTTCTGACTCAGACCTCCCATTATTTGTGTACACTTACATACATTTAATTTCTTTTCAATTCCGGACTCTCCCCTTCTCAACTTCTCCACTCCGCCACTTGATAAATTGCTTTCGCTGGGATCAATCCGTCGACTAGGCGATATTTTATTTGGCTTATTAATTTTTCTATATTTATATTTGGGTCCGGTGACCGCAGATTTCAATTACAAAGTGTCACGGGCAACGAGGGAAAACGTTGATTTTAATAGAATTTCTGCCTGGAAAGTGCTTTCTCCGGCAGTTTCAATTTGCTTAATGCAATTGGGGGAACTTTCCATCTGAAAAGCGCGTCAATTGATGCACTTAGGCGCTAAGATCTCTTTACACAAAAGGCGGACTCGCCACAGTGGGGTGTGTAAATTGATTTCGTTTTTGGGCTTGCCACCAGACAGTGTGAAATACAGCTCGAATGGCGACACGCTGGGGGATGGGAACTCAGTTTGGAACCCCAGACGTTTGGATCAAGGGGTGCCACTGTTTCCGACTGGGTCTTCAAAGTGCATTCGCTTCCCAGGCCCACAAAAAAACATACATTTAACCAAAGTGTGTATAGCCCACTCCCTGAGAACGAAACGCATTCTTTCGTGATGTTATATGAGCTGAAAACTGTTTGAATGGATGATTAACATATATGGATGGGATTTTGTATTTATTTTTTTTCTGTATTTTGAAGGCGAAACGGAGCGAAGCAAAACAAATTCGTTGTTATTGCTGCTTGTTTGTTTGCCTCGCTGGCAAAAGGCCTTCGAATTGATACGGAGCATATGACAAACACAAAGGGTTAGCCTCTGATTCACGCCTTATCGGCCCCGCAGGAAGCGCTGCCGGTCAACAGTCCTCCAAAAACCGAATCCAAACATAAACCCTTAACCCATGTCCGCCGGCCAGCATCGAATTTTAGCACCCAATGCCAATACTTCGACACGCCCCTATCATCGCACAAGCATCAACACTAAATTTGAACTATAACAAAAGGCGGTGGGTTGGCCCTGCAATTGCAGACATAAAGGAAAACTCTTGGAAAATATTGAGAAATAAGGGAAAACAATTTACCGCCATATGCGAGCAGGCGGGTCGCCCAAGTCCTGATCCCTTTTATGGCCAATGTGTCAGCCACCGAAAATTGCTTTTGTATACTCACACAAATTGTTCTTATCATTGTCGCCTATGGCTGGGAATTAGGAAATATTCGGCGGGCGGAAGACATTGGCGCCAGTTGGTCTTATCACTTATCACTTATCAGACGACAGCCTGTGGGCCTTTCTCCAAGGTCGAAGTTCTCCCTTCAGCTTTTGGCAAATGTAATTTATGTTCC